TGGGGCAGGGCCGGCGTGCTTCACCCGCAGCACGCGGCCAGGCTTGACCTCCACGAAGGTGTAGCCATCGCTGGACTCGACGCTTTCCAGGGGCCCCACCGCGTTGGGGTGTGAGCCCAGCAGGCAGCAGAAGATTCCATCCGCCACCCCGGTCAGCATGGTGTGTCCTGCGGGATGGGGGCGGGCAGCTCAGGGGCCGTCTGCACAGAAGCCCTCCGCCCTGCAGCACCCGCTCTGGGCTCCGCGGAAGGCCCCTTCTAGGTCCCGGGAGGGGAGGGCAGGCCAAGGCACCGGGCCATCTGACTGGACAATGCCTTCTCCTGAGAAGTCAGCCACCCTTCCGGGCCAGCCTCGACTGTCCTCAGGAAGAAGGGCCTGGCTGTCAGCGTTGAGTCTGAGGCGCTTCCTAGAGGAGGGAACACTGGAGCGAGCAAAGCCCAAGCCTGAGGACCCTCCACCCACCAGCTGGAGAGATGCCAGCCAGGACTTCCTGACCTGCCCCATTCATTTGCACAGGCTTTCACCCTTCATGAAGGCGTTTCCTGCGGGCTCCTACTGCATCCAAATCCCTGGAAGCTGAGGCTCTGGGGAGGGGGTGGAGACTGAGCCCTGGAAGGCCTCGTCCGGCTCCCCCGGATGGGCGAGGGCCTGTGCCAGAGGGGACAGCCGAGGCCCGGGGTGGCCGGGAGGCGGCGGGACGCTGCGCCCCTTCCCGGGACCCTGGGTTCCGGGGCTCTGGCGCGCCAGCCCTCCCTCTCCCCAGCGCCCCGCCCCCGCGTAAAGAGGAGACTGAGGCGGCCCTGGCTGGGGGCCGTCAGGCCTCCCCCCTCGGGCCACCCCCGCCCCCGTGTCCATAGCAACCACGGCGGTTACATAACTCCAGGGGGATACCCGCGCGGTGCACCCGCATTGTCTAGGGCCTGGAGACTGGACCACCCCGCGCCAGCCTGGTCGCTGCTAGGGTAACGCACGCCAAGGGCTGGGCCTCCGTGGGCCCGACATCCTCGGGGGGCAGCGGGCCAATCCCCCACCTCGAGTGGGGCCCTAATCCCGGATTGCGGAGGGCAGCGCAGACGAGTCGCGCCAGTCCCCCTCCCAGAATCTGGCCCCCGCCTTCCAGGTGTCCGTCATCCCTCCAGCGAGGTCGAGGCTACTGGGGCTCCGTGGCTTCCCAGGAGCCCGCACGAGGGGTTGGCGAACACCTCCCCGCTCCGAAGTGGAGGCCGGGGGGCGGCTTCGATGTCCGCTCTTGGGGCCCGCCCGCTCCCCGCTCACCTCATCGAGGGCCGAGGGGCCCGGTCGGGGCAGAGGGGTCCCGGGCAGAGAAGCCAGCATCCGCCGTTTACATGGTGGCGCTGGTCGGGCAAGGCCGTCTGCGCGGGCGGGCGGCGGGGCCTGGCGGTCCGCGCAGGGGCACCGCGCGGCTGCCGAACGCGCCGGCCCTTTAAGTCCCTCCTTCTGGAGGGCGGGGCCTGGTGCGACGGGCGGCCACTCCGACCTATCGCGGCTGCGGGCTGACCCGCCCTAGTTAAGCGCCCAATAAGAGGCGGGTCTTCGGGGGTGGAGGCGGGCTCTGGGCGCGACGGCCCCGCCCCCTCCGGGCGCTCGCCGTGGAGGGGAGAGGGCTGGGCCCGGCCCAGAGGTGAGGAGGGCGTTGCGGCCTGGGGTCTGCGGAACCGGCGGGCGCGGGCTCCGGGGACCCGCTCGTCGCGCTCGGCCTCCCAAGCCAACCCCTGCTCCCTAATTGCCCCGTCCCCTCCGAACGAAGCCCCTGTGCGTGCTCCTCTCGCTGTGCTGACCTTCCCCTTCTAGACGCAGAAACGCCTAGTTCTTTTTCCAGTTTCAGGTAGGGAAACTGAGGCTCTTAAAGGGCACATCATGCACAGGCCGAGCTGCGACGGCTGAGTTAGCCACGTCCTGGGAACTGTCTGTTCGCTAATCCTTGGAGCTGTGGGTCATTAGGGATTTCACAGCCGGTTTAGCTGATGGCTGCCCTGGAGCCGAGGAGGGCCAGGAGCCAGAGGCCGACTCCCCGGCTCTGTGGTGCCTGCCAGACGCTCCAGGCCGCTGGGAGAGCCTGGCGTGGGAGGCACAGGGCTTGGGTCCAGCCTCTGCCCTGTGCTGATGCGTGACCTTGGGCAAGTCCCTTCCGGAGCTCCATCGACTCCTCTGCAAATCAGTCCCCTCCCAAATGTGCCATGCAGGCAAGGCTCTCGTCGCGGTGTCTTGTGTATTGGCTCAGGTCGTTGTTGGCATTTTGTGGCGGTGGTGGAGGAGCGGGGTTAGCCACTCCTTGCTGCCTGCCAGCTGATGCGTGCCCTGGAATTTGCGGCCAGGGCTGGACTGGGTCCAGCCGCCTACTCTTACCCGCTGAGGGCACTCCCGGGAGACTACATAGTTTGTTCATTCACTAACACTGTCGCCCCGTCTGGGCCCTTCTGGAGCTGGGTAATGCTGGACACTTGGGACGAAGTCCCCTGAGGGGCCCTAAGCTTCGGGGAGAGTTCAGGGAGAGCCACATCCGGTCAGGGATGGGCCAGAGGAAAGGCGGGGTTGGGAAGAGAGGATTTTAAAGGGTAGACTGAAGGGCACCAGGCCGAGAGGAAGGTGTGGCTGTGCAATGCGGACGCCTCTGTGGAGAGGGCCATGCATGCCTGCCGGAGGCACTGGATGTTTTCCCGAGGCAACAGGGAGCCAAGGAGGGTGTGTGAGCAGGGAGGGGCTCAGATGTGAGCCTGGTAACAATTCTTCTGAGGCCCAAAGGGGGGCGAGATCGCCCAAGGCAAGCTGCAATCCACGAATTTTACAGCTCGAAAGCCCAGGAGGAAGCAGGGGCCACCCCAAGGACGTCCAACTCGCTTGACCTCAGGCGTCCGGGGCTTCCTGCCAAGGGGCGGAGACTTGGCTGCGGCCTGCAAAAGCGGCCAGCCAGTTGTGTGCCACCCGCCCGAGACCAACCAGCCATTTCCTGCGGCTGCCACCAGGCAGGAGAACTACAACTCCCAGCAGCCCTTGGGGTTTAGTGTCTTGTCAGCACGCGCCTGGCGAGGAGGTGCCGTTTCGCCCACGGTGCGCAGGCGTTAAACTACAACTTCCGGGAAGCCCCGCGGCAGTGGGTTTTTTCCCCAAGGTAGGAAGAACTGCATTTCCCAGAAGTCTTTGCGCCCCCGGGGCGGACGCCGTGAGCTCCGGAATCCCCGGCGGCTGAGCCCACGTGACACGCCGGTGACCATGGCTTTCTGGGCCGGGGCCCTACGGGGCGCTGCGAGTGGGTCGGCGGCGCTGCTGGGCAGCAGGTGAGTCCTCAGAGAGCCCCTTCCCCAGATCTGCGAGTCAGGGCTGGCACCAGCGGTTCACCGCCGTGAGCCGCCAAGGTCCTGCGCGTTCAGGGCGCGCCTTCTGCGGCTAGGCGCGGTCCCGGGACCGACCGGGAGCCCGAGGCTCCAGGAGGGCCAGCGCCGAGGCCACAGCGCCCCGTGTGACCCCGCCGTCTCTCCGCCCGCAGGTGGCTACAGCCCCGAGCCCAGCTAGAGCTTCTGGGCGCGTGGGGCCTGCCCGCTCTGCAGCAGGCGCGGGGCAAGGCGCGCGGGAACGAGTATCAGCCCAGCAACATCAAGCGCAAGCACAAGCACGGCTGGATCCGGCGCCTGAGCTCCCCGGCGGGCGTCCAGGTCGTGCTCCGCCGCATGCTCAAGGGCCGCCGCTCGCTGAGTCACTGAGGAGCGCCACGCCGCCGACGGGACCCCCGCGACAGCCTGCCCCTCGCCGGGGTCTGGCGCTGTGCTCGCAGGAGCTGGGGGCAGGCGCGACCTGGACCCGAGTGCCCCCGCCCTGTGGGGTTGGCCCGGGGGAGCGGAAGTCAGGCCCTGCCGGGTCCCTTTTTCGTGCACTAGACTCAGGAAGGGTTTCGCACACGCAGCAGACCCCAGAATAGTACAAGGAACGCCGGTGTACCCAGTACCCGACCTGCCCGCGCCTGTGTTCTTTTGAAGCTGCTCCCAGACATCGGGCTAGTTCTTCTGTAAACATTTCAGAGTCTGTGTCTCCAACACAAGACTTGAAAGCGTCATCACGAGACTTATCACACCCCAAAGAATGATCGATCATTTCGAAATGCCATTAAATGTTGAATAAATGTTCCAGTGTCCACTGATAGTATGTCATTGCAGGTCTGGGGGGGTGGGGGTGGGGTTGGAGTCCTCCACCTGCCTCTTGGGGATGAGCTGTGTGACTTTGGGCAAGGACTTACTTGGCCCTCTGATGCGCCTTTGGCTCCTAACAAACGAAATGCTCCTTTCTCCTTTGCTCTAGCCATTTTAAATTCAATTTTCTTGTAGAGCCAAGGTCTCGCTATGTTGCCCAAGCTGGCCTTGAACTCCTGGCCTCAAGCGAGCCTCCTGCTTCGGCCTTCCAAAGTCCTGAAATGAGAGACGTGGGCCACCGTGTGCGGTTCTACCAATTTACTGAGCACCTGCCACGTACTGGGTGCTCCGTCTTTGCCCAGGAGGGGCTGTCGGCCTAGTGGGAGGTGAATTCATACCCAGGCGGTTTGGGCACAGCGGTGTCAGGCCTAGGAAGGGGGACCGTGAGGCCTGTCAGAGCTCAGAGGAGGGCCTGACTTGGCATTAGGAAGAATGCGCTCTGGGAAGAAGGGCCTGGGAGAGACAGAGGCCGGAGGAGTTGAGCAGGAGTGAGGACCGGCGTGGGCGAGAGAGGCCGGAGGGGCATCCAAACAGGGCCGAGGAAGTGGAAGTCGCCGGAGGCGGGGAGGTTTGAGCGAGAGGGCCCGAATTGCCAGTTCACAGAGACTTAGTCTTAGATACGCCGAAAGCCAAGGTTGGTACCTCGAGGAGGAGGCCGGGAGCGTTGCGAGTTCTCGTCTTCTGGGGCTGCTGTCAGAACCTCGGGACGATTACGTATGAAAAAACGTAACAACCACTGAAGGGAGAGACTCGCCAGGTTGAAAACTTCATTTCCCGGGAGGCCTCGCGGCGCGGCCTCCGCCCATTTCCGGTTGCGACTTCCCGTGCTTCCAAGGGCCGGGCGGGGCTTTGCTTCCTCAACCGAACTTGACCACGAAAGGAGGAGGCGTGGCGACCAATGAGAAAGTGAGGTGGCCGTATGTGGCTAATG